TATTAATAACAAACAACCTACCATGTGGTTTTAGCTTCCGAAAGTCCATTAGCTAATATCTTAGCTCTAGGGATCATGATTACACGCAATATAAATTTACTATACACCATCAGTATGGATCATTTATCTGCTAAAAAAAAGCAATTAAATTTCAGTAATTACTTTTTCTCTTGCCAGTAACCAATACGACGTGCTATACATACATACATTTGTTGCTTTTAACTCATTTGTAATCTCAGACTTATTTAAAACTAAACATTAATGTTTTCTTCTAGCCTTTCATGATCTCTGAACATTTAGAAGTAGAGTAAAATTGTAGGATTTCAACTATTCACATGAAAAAATACTCCTTTGGTACAATATATAATTCTGCGAATACGCTTAAAATGAAACCGAAGTTTAAAAAAGCAAAATGCTTTTAAGAGTTTGGACAAAAACGTTTCTATTAAGAATATTTTCTGAAATTTTATGGATTAATATTTTTCTCTATATTGAAAAGAAATATATAGACAATATTAAACAGTTTAGGTTAAAGAAAGACTAGATATTGTTTAATGTTTACAGAACACTCAGGTATGTCTACCAAATAAATATTGTTTAATGTTTACAGAACACTCATGTATGTTTACCAAATAAATTCCGAAATGAATCTAGAGAAATCATGCTAATCTATTTATGCCAGCTTTCTGATTTCTAAAACGTTCTCTGGTAAATTATACTCCATTTGACGTAGTAATTCATTCTATATCAAATCGATATAACATATTATAGTCATGTTTTCTAAAACCCTGTCTAGTGTATTTTACCACCGTTAATTGTAATGGATTTACTTGTAAATACTATAGTTTTAGCTTTGTTTAATATGTACGTAAAATTCAATACTGGTGGAAGTGTCAATTAAAAGTATACTCCCTATACGCGTGAGCCAGGCGTAGCCTTAGAGGTTAACTTGTCGGGCGAAGTTCGACCCGGCGTTAAACACTTTCAGCTGTGGTGACATTAGCTTTCCGTCTGCTATTTTCGGGTAATAGTACCTGCTTAGGTGGCAGGTGGTACTCCCTGTTTTCCCTCGTTCTGGTCCACAGTTCAAAATAAGGAATGACTATGTTTGAACCTTGTGGTTTTTGACCCATTCGTTAAACAAATTTTTTGTATAAGTTTTAAAATGCTCCTCGAACAATTTTATCAAATTCAACTGAATGAATCTTTCAGTATTAACAAAATAATATTTTCTAAACCATTAACAGTGTTTAATTTGTATGTAAGAAGTTTATATAATGTACGCTATCGATACAAAAAGTATTTTTATATATGATAATTTTCCAAAATCTTACAATATGCGTATCACTACAAAGTATGTAAGCAAGAAATATAATTCGTATACTAACTTATATTTATAAATCAACATAGTTTGCTCTGGAAATTATGTAAGGAATGGATGTAGATTATTGATCTTATAATTAGTACATTTCGGCGTGGCGTGAAGTATTATGTTCATAACGAACATGTATTTCGATAGGATGCGCTAGATTTCTAAAATGGCAGTGTTTACCTTCGATGAAGTGTAATTTACAATTTAGTAAATTGATCTCTTTCATCTTAGTTCTATTTAGCAGAATAGGTAATTAGTCACGGTTTCCGGAAAAAAAAATGTCACGAACAACTCTCATGCAAACACGTGCTAATTATATTCTCAAGACTTTCTGTTCCAAATTATTGATAACTCTTTTCGAACCATAAGCAGTAGTAATAATAATAGCAGTCACGTTCACATTTTTTCATAAACTAGGAGATTCAAATTGATAGTTTCCCGGATGATGCTATTTCCAAGTTCGTATATAATAATTTTAGTTTACAGCGAATTCGGAGGATATGGGTAAAATGATGTTATTTTGATATTACAAGTTTAAAGCAGGCTAAGAAATTACACAGAGAATGGTGTTATTTGCACTTATAATGGTATAGTTCTTAAAATTACTAGTTTAAAACGAAATAAGAAGTGGGAAATGGTTGTATTTCTGATTGAAATGTTATGATTTTTTTAATATACGATTAATTTAGTTTGTTTTGAATTTTGCGTAAAGCTATACGAGGCTATCTGCGCTATCTGTCCCTAATTTAGCAGTGATAGAGAAGAGGAAAAGCAGCTAGTCAACATAACCCACCGCTAGTTCTTGGTCTATTATTTTACCGACGAAAGTGGGATTTACCGAACATTATACCCCCCCACCCCCACGGCTGAAAGGACGAGAATGTTTGGTGACGGAGATTTAATATACGCAAATTGAGAACGTTTCAATTAAAATCAAATTAAGTTTCGTCAAACTTTATACTGTTCTTTAACTTTATACTGTTTTTTAAAACAAGGCGGAGATATTTAAATGCTTTCGAGAACAACATTTGATCATTACTATTGGATTGGATGATACAAGTACGTACCGTTAAGCATATATCAGATAATCAGTTCTAAGTTTTACCTGGTTTAAACGTGGATAATCTTCGATAAAGTTAGCAGAAACATTTAATCAAAATTGGGGACATTCTATTGTAAGGGTCGAAAGTTTAAATTTATAAATATGTTTTTACCAAAATACTTGACTTAGTGAATTCACACCATCTGTAAGTTCTTTCGATGTGTTGTTAAACTCATGGTGCCAATAAAGGTCTGTGGTGAAATTATAAGAATTTAGTTTGAATTAGAATAACGTTATGACCGTTACGTAGCAAAGCATGCGCTTTGACTTTAAATCTTTTATACGCGTAAATAAGGTGTTTCGCACTTGCGTTTGGCTAATCGGAGACAGTTTGGGGAACGTTTACTGCCACTTGTCGAGACACTGCTCTAAATTCATGTCATGTGCCTGAAAATTGGTATCATGTAAATTACCTTACGGTAAAAGCCATAGCAAATTATATCGACTTTCGATTTTTTTTTAGTTGTATAAAAAATATAAATTCGTCATCCTCATTATTGTAATTTGTTATGACCAATCATAAATTTTAATGAAACTGTAAAATAAAAACATAATTATTTAACATTTCTATTTATAGCCTTTTATGACATGAGAAATTATTGGTGATAGGACATTTTCAAGGTACATAAAATGTTTACTATTAACTACGGTCATTAATTACTCACTTTATGCACTTGTGCAGGCATCTAATTCGAACATCTTTGTGCTTAAGAACAAACAAACAAAACCATTTGAACATGATATTTTTTTTTACTTCTTGCCTTCCCTTCCTGATTTTTTTTAAGTACTGAAACTATAATAGCTGTGATTGTATATAGGTAGGATTTACTTGAAAAGAGACACAGCATATTACATCTTACAAAATATATTAATGTGTTCTCAATTTACTGAAATCGGGTCAAGTGTGGACTAATGGTTAGCGGACTGCGTATCCGAGAGTTCATGTTTTATGTCACTTTGCGCAAAAATGCGCTCTGCACTTTGGGATCTTGATCGAAATATAACAGTAAAGTTCAAACCTAACTATTCGTTCAGACAAGAGTAACCTACATTTTTGTTGTCTTATAATTATCTGGAATGTAAAGGTCGTTTTTTTCTAACTTTACTATTAAAAGGATGACTTAAGAGTTGTTGGTTTGTACTGTTGAATAGCTAGCTGCCTTCCCTCTAGTCTGTCAGTTTATAATTAAAGACATCTATATGGAGATAGCCCTTAAGTAGCTTGCGCAACTGTTCTGGAAAAGCAAATAAACGAAATTATCAAATAAAACTTTTACAATGGCAGTTTTCTTAGTTTTCAAATAATGTCTTACATTTTTTTATTCCCTTCTCTTGTTATGGACAGAGAGAGAAATTAACTCAAATACAACTGGGAAGTCAATTGGCTCTGTTGTAGAGCTATGGATTTTGGAGCTAGTGAGCTGGGTTTCAATCCATGCCATAACACAAAATATTTCCCGCATTTTAAGCTGTGAGTGCATTACAAAATGACAGTCAATCTCTGGTGGATGACAGAATGCTGCTGACTAGCTGCATTTCCTCTGGTCAGTTCTTAGAGTTCAGTTTTGAACTCTAAGATAGATTAATCATTTATATTAATTTAAACTTTAAAATTAATCCTTTCCTTTCAGTTATTCCATTTGGGCAGGTAATTTCGAATAGTATTAAGAAATAAAATAATATAAGAACCCATCAGTGAATTATGAAAAATGTGTACTCCTCCCAAATTTGTACTTTGTGTCATATATAGAAACGTTAATGTTTGTCTAGCTATTAAGTCTATTACTTTTACCCTTATCGTATTGTAAAACATATTAATCAATAAAAAATGTAGTTAAGGTGTAAGAGAATTTGATTGGAAGGCTATACGCTTCATATGCAAGAAAATTTCCAAAAACAATTCTTCCTTAACTACATTGTGACGTAAGCTCTCCCATATCCTCCTTCTGCTTCACGACCCATGCATAACAGTGTAACGCCTATGTTTTTTTATCAGGGCAAGAGGGGAAGAACTTCTGATTTTCTGTTGTGTTGTACGTTTGAAGTAGACGGCTTGTCTCTGTTCCTGAACACTATACAAAAGAGTTCCCTACAAATTAATAAAGGTTCTATCAATTGAGGAATTTCTTAGTTAAATTCGACTGTTAGATGGTAGTAGGGTTTCCATTTTCCACAGCTGGAAAGCTAATTTGAGATATTTGTCTGGGAAAGACTATGTTTCGAGAGCTATAAGAAAAATTTGAACATTAATTGATAGGGGATCTGTTGTTCGGCTTAATTCGATATGTCAACAAACGTGAGCTCATTAGTCATGCGAATAGTTCCACGGGAGTATGTTAAATTAGCAATAGCGCGTTACTTCGTGACTATTATTAATTTAAAGAACTAATTGCATAGATCACAGGCCATTAATATACTTGGACTCTTCCACGTGTTTTTGGCCACGCCCACAAAACTCGACAACTTTGTTATTAAAAATTCCACCAACCACTTCGCGTCTCGTCTCTCAGTCGCAAGTTAGACAAACAAGCGTAGACAGAGATTGGTTACAGCTTATAAACCATTATATCATCCCGCTTAATATTAGTTCCATCCATTCGTTTAATGATGAACATTCGCGGCTTTCACGGTGAACTAATAAAGATTTGAAGTGACCTCTGGAAGATATATTGTAAGATTAAAGGCGCGTTGATACTGGCGTTTCTTCCACTACCTTGGTCAGTGGATGTACAGCTTAGTTCGGATATGGAGTTTACAGTGACCAGCTCGGATTTGTTTACACCGCACTACAGCCCACAGGTGGACATCGTTGACGTTATGCCACCGCCGAGAAAGTCGCAAAACCGTTGGGGATACTATCTCGAAGAAAAGCGGCGGATGCACCACTTCATCCTGGGCCATTCACCAACTTCGTTCTCAGTTGACGACATTCTCGATCCGAAAAAATTCATTGGAGCTGCACGGCTCCATTGTTCCTGGACGAGTCACTTGAAAGATTTGGATACCGATAGAGAGATGGAATTTCAGGATGGAAAAGGTGAGAAAGCCTGTCTCTCTGCCTCCAGTATTTTGATTCAAAAATACAAAAATCACATTTCAACTCAAAAAATTCACGAAAAGTAGCTTCTTGTACCACTTCCTCTATAACAAATATGTTTAAATAAATTTCCAATGCAACTATATTCTCAGCATTAAGTTGTACTCTTTGGGCTTTAATTCAGTTAACATTCATATAACTTGTTTTAGTCATGCAGGATATAACTGAAAAAAAGCTTAAAAACTCCACTCCACGAAGAAAGGGTTTGCACTATACTTTTATCTAGTGCCTGTTTTTACAAAAATACTCTCTACACTTTGGAGCCATCGTTGCTCTATGATAGTGATGATCAAATCACACTATTGGATCAGAAGAGAGTAATCTAAGATTTGGCGTTGAAGGACGTTGACTAGCTCTCTTCCCTCTAGTCTATCAGTTCAAAATTAGGGACAGCTATGTGAAAAAAAAAACAAAAAATAATTTATATAAGTTAAAATATTTTTATATACATTGTTCTAAAATTTTGGAGACAGGTACACTTCACTTGGTATAATATAAGAGATAGAGAAAATAATACATTTTACTTACTGGGGCATCAAACCTTATCCAATAAAGAACACTATCCAAAACAGATCAGCAACTCTAAAAGAATCGTAAAACAGAATATTCTGTGTTTGCACCAACTACCGCAATTATTTATTTTCAACGACACTGAGCCATCTGCGAAGCATATAAAGCGATGTTCATTAGTTTTATTTGGAAAGAGAATAGAATTGCACAAGTTTTATATATATATATATATTATATGAAAGGGGCGTTACAGATATTGCTAATACAACAATGATTGACATCTTTCTCTAAGATACTTTTGAAAGCAGTGAAAACGATACATATTATTCCGGCCATCTATACAATATAAGTAACTGTAATTAAACTTACCAAAACAATTACATAGATCTGAGACATGTGTAACTATTACATGGTGTCAAAAAGAGTCAGAAATGCTTATAACCTCAATAAATGAACACCTCCAAAACACAAGAAAGCTTAATCAAATTTGAATTATCAAACTTCCAAATTTAAGTCTATTCCGAGAAAAATAATTTATGTCTTAAACGTGTAGTTATCACAATGTAAAAATAATCAGCTTATGCTAATATTCCTTAACCTCCAGATAAAATAATATTTCCTTATAGAGAGCTGTTTTTTACAGAAAATATTGTAATAATTTTTTTCTTTAAGTTGAAACTGTTTCACACTTACACAGTTTATTACACGCTTATGTGCAAATAAGTACAAGATTCTCATTATCTGTGCATACTTTAGTATCTGTAGGCCTATAGCTATGATTTAAGTGCGTTTCTTTATATCACAGCTTGATATACTTGATTTAAAGTATAATGTTCTCAAATCACTGGAAATTAATAATCATTTCGTCTTTTATATCAATTCAAGCTGCTTGTCTGCTAAAGTATTATTGAAATCGACACTGATATTCTTTACCGAAAGATGTTTGAATTGCGTCGTTTGATAAACTTTAATCATTTCTGATGAGATTTTCGCTCATAAGAGTAAGCCACTAATATCTCTAACCGTAAACGCGTGTCAATAAACAAATACTCGTACACAAACACACACATATTTTTATCCGTATTATGTCACTAACTGTACGGACTTTAGAAAAAGTTACCTAATATATGTAACATTTATGTATATATATATTTCATCATCAACGATTTTTCATTGCATAAAAGGCTGTAAATGGAAAAGTTAAACATTATGTTTTAGTTTCGAAGCTTATATGTTTTAGTCACAACAGACTAGAACAATGAGGAGTCCTTATTTTGTATTCGACTGTATTTCTCTCTTAGTAAGGAATATCAACCTCGTTTATTGTCAGGTCAAATTTATACAAACTTTTCATCTGACAAATGCTTAAAATTAAATAACTGTAATAACAAAATGCTGTCATACTAATTAACTCTTGAAAATAATTAAATTCACCGCATACTCTACAGTCATCTCTGCTGAAAAAAAAGATATCAATCTGGTTGTTATTTCTGATTTACGAACAGGTTTATAAAGGATGTAAAGTATTAATGTTCCATTTATGTCATCACTTCTTGCCCGAAAAAGAGTTACCAAAACCGGGGAAAAACACTTGGAGGCATAAAAAACACGTGTTTGCAAGCGTATATAGTTATATCAGATACTATGAGGTCGTTCTCAAGTGAAAGTGTAACTAAACTGACAACACACACACGTAAGATAGGAGTACGTGCGGTGTTTTCAGCTATTTTTTTATTGATACATATTTTTGTGTTCAGTACAGTTAAATCTTCGAAATCACAGATTACAATCATACTGATGTTGTTTCGTTTCTTGTCTACTCTAATGTACGTTATACTTGCATAATAGCTGTTGAACGATTTTTTTATACTTTTAAGACTAGATAATTGGTCACATTTCCTTATGTCCTATTCGTTCAATATAGCTAGAATCTTATAACAAAATGTTTATGTTCATGCATTTATCATGAAGGAATTTAAGAGGAAACTTATGATTTACCTAGAGAGAAATCAAAATATTTAGTTGCTCTTTTGTAACAGTTGCATTCAAACACATTTTCGTCCGTAATATGTCATGTAATGTACTGACTTTATAAAAAGTTACATAATTGAAAAGAACAGCGACAATCACAAACGTGAATCACTTAAGAATATAGTTGTAACTTTTTGTCAATCTATGTTTGTAATCTCGAACTGAAGTGCTAGTTTTAAAAAGGTTTCAACTTTATTCTAGATGTAATATTAAAACAATATGTTATCAAGAGGGATTATTTGAAATTTGCAATGGTTAATGTGTAATTTAAATTTACTCATTCGCTGTATGAACGATTAATATCTGCGGATAATTAAGCATTTTGGTTAATTAGTTGCCTTCCCTATGGTTGGTAGTTCAAAATTATAAACGGCAGTAGACAGCCTTAGTATAGATTGACCGTACAACAAACAAACCACATACAGTTTAATAGAGCGTCTAGTGGTATTCAAAATACATAAATTTTATTTGGAAGGATATCAAATAAACCACTACAATGAAGGCAAAATTAATCTAACAAATGTGACTTAAATTTTGACGTTAGCCTTTTGTTGTTTTTATCTAGTTAAACCGCTGTTATAATACCTATTGGAAAACACTATCGTTATCATAAATGGAGATGTGGTTAAGTTCATAGCTGATTCTACATCTCTATCATAACTTCACAAATGTTTTGTTGTAGTAACCAATTAGATAAATTGTAATTTCGTGAAATTTCATCATAAAACGTTTGTGGATTGATAAACATTTGGAATACTCGTTTCAATGCTAATGTTTTAAGTAACAAGCTTAAAACAGTTAAATGTATCATTATTAGGTTTTGTTTGTTTTCAGTTTGTATGTGATAACGATGTTCATATAAGAATCAGATATCGTTTCTTGGCCGATTTTGTATTGCTAGACAAAAATGTCTTTTCCTAAAAACATGTACTATAGAGGTACATAAACACACATTTCAAGACATATCCATGCGCTCTGTATGTAAACGTTTTATCTGATACAACATTTCCCACAGAGTAAGGTTTCTAAAATTTTAAGTTACGATTGTTTATGAATAAGACTAAGAGAAAGTGTAGACGACGTCTTAACACTTCCTGCTGTGACAGATTTACTGTTATATATTAATTTAATATCGATGTTTGTTTGAATTAACATATATTTAGAAATGTACATAACTTGTACTGTTAAATCTGTATTCCGAAACTCCCGCCTATTCTCTAAAGTTGTAGAAGATTCTCGAGTGTAACAATCAACAATATATATATGTGTACGTAAACGCTAGTGTTAGCGTCAGTATTGTTACGTAAACTGAAATTTCGAAAACTCTCCACACGCCTATAAATATAACCAACGCGACGTGCAAAAATAAAAACAGTATCTATTATTGGGTTGCTGTAATTGGTAAGCTATAACTGTGATTAACGCTTATTAATCGGAACACTTCAGATATATTGACCAGGAACGTTTATAAATTTCGAACATTACAAATCATTCAACTTCAGTGGGTTCAAATCGGACATTAATACTTTTGCGAAAACGTTACCTAACGTCACTAGTATGAAAAATCGGCGTGTAATCAGTAAAGACCACAGAGCTATCTAGCTCCCTGTTAAGAGAATTGTATTTACATCAACTCGAAATTAACTTGCTCATCGTGAACCCTCGATA